AGGGTTCCTTCACACAGATCATACAGAAGCGAGAGTCCGTGTCCTAGAACTCACATTCTGGGCCTGTGCCACCTGTGGTTGGTAATGTCACCATTGCGGGATGGAAGGGGGCCTTGGTCCTCATCAGACTGCCACCCTGCAAGGCTTGCCCCAGTCACGTAAGAAAGCCAGGTTTGGGCGGAGCTCAGTCGGCAGAGCACTTGCGCAGAGCTCTGGGTTCTAGTTTTCTGTTTCACCATTTTTTTTCCAAGGGTTATGATCACATAATTGACTTATTGTAAATTGATATTTAAAAAACATTTTAGAAAGAAGGTGGTGGGGTCATGGTAGTGAATAGCCATTGAGTGATCCCTTTAATGTCCCTTGAAGAACAAATTTTCTCCCTCCACATGAGGGCTCTCGACACTCTGTTGACTTGTTGGGAAACAGTGAAATCCATCATAAACTGAAGGGCTGTGGGAATCTCCATTCAGTTTTATTCGAATTCTGGGTGACAGTGGATGAGCAGAAGGGCAGTCGACCTGCCGCAAGGTCTTCTGCCCCGGCAGGTCCTGTTCCCGCAGGATGGTGGCATTTATAGTGGAGTCTTACCTGGACAGGGATGTACTCCAGGATCTCTTTAGAATGAAACGGATGGAGAATGGCCTGTCAGCCTCACTCGGGAAGTGGCAGAGCTACAGGGAGGTGGTCAGGAGGCGATCCAGTCCCGTTCTTCCATTATCAGTTCAAGATCTGAGAGAAGGAAGGAAACGGCAGAGAGATAGGGCCACAGTAAGAAGCAGAGTTCCAAAGCCTTTGGATTTTTCACGCTGCCACTCAGATCGCAAGCAGGATTCATAAGGAACACGACTGGTGTCCCTAAATGGGGTGTTGGGATAGTGTCCTAGTTTTGCTTTGCAGTCTGTGCTTCAGAGATGAGCTGTACTGAATGGTGGTCAGCCATTGCTATCTGAAGTCCTTAACACGGGTGTTTGGTTTAAAGGTCAAAAACGTGGGTATTATCAGGAAATCATAAAGATGTTTCTGTCCTCTGTTATACTATGTGCATGTTCTCATTTGCGTGACTGGTTGACTATTTCAAAATCGATGAGAGCAAAGTTACTAAGAAGCTGTCAATTCGATGGCTGAGCGGGTTTACCCCTGGGATGGATTACAGAGCTGTGTGGTAGTGCTGGGAGGTGCCAGGGCCCCCCAGGATCTTCCTGCAGCGTGCTCTGGAGTCATGCCTGGTGTGGCCAGGGCAGACGGTGCCACCATGCTGACCGTGTTCTAGATCAGGGTTCTCATAGTGTGACTGGAGAGCCTGGGGTGTCCAGGACCCTAGCCAGGCTCTGTCCGTCAAAACTGCTCTCGGAATGAACCAACCGTCCTCCTGTTTCCCTCCCATCCCACGGCGGGCTGGGGAACTCTCAAAGGCTGCATGACAGGCCGCGACGATGTCACTCTGACACCAAGGGGCATGGGGTGGGTATGATGCTTCACTTCTGGAGGTCTCCACTTTAATTCCCAGAAGGGTAAGTGTCTAGAGGCACAACCCACATGGACACGGTCCCTCGGAAGGCCTTAAAGTGTCCTAAGATAAAGCCCTGGTGGAGTGCTGTGGTGGGTACTGCCTGTGCCTCCTTGGATGGTGCAGACACACCTGTGCGGGCTCTGTTATGGCTCCCTGAGAACACAGGAGGACACGAGAGCCAGGAGGAGTTAAGGACTGGCCACAGGTCACTGGAATAACAGGTGGAAACCCAGAATCGGAACTCAGGCCTCACATTCTTAGCCACCTGTCCCCTGAGGTATCAGGGACTTGGTCTCTCAAAGCAGCAGCACCAGGCGATACCTAGACTTGCACAGGACTTCCCAGAAGGGGAGATGGTAGGCCTCTGCCAGGGACTGTCCGTCAGGCCCTGTGCCCTTGGACTGTGGGAAACAGAGCCTGTTCTCAGGGTTCGTGGGCAGAGCCCAGCCCCGGACGTGTTTGATTGGTGTCATGCCACGTGCAGAATAAGACAAACAGCTGTCCGTTACTTAAATCCAGAGCATTTTACTTACTAAAAGAAGCCGGTGTTGCCAGCTGCCCTTGAACCGCTGGGAGCCCTGGGCTGGTCCATCACAGAGCAAGTGGGTGGCAGTGTGGCCCCTCTGAGCCTTCTCAAGATGCACCCTCTTCTCGTCACTGTCCCTGCAGCCCCAGTCCCTCCTCACAGCTAACCTTGTGCCTGCGCATCCTGCTGGGAGGCCGGCTGCCTTCACCTGAAGGCTTGGACACTCAGGAGGCCGAGGGCAAGAGGATGAGGGAACCCGCTGGGCCACCGAGACCTGCACGTGTGGGACCTCCGTGACAGGGCCCGGCCAGGAGCAGGTGGCCTTGTTCCTGAGTGAAGCAGAAACTCGGGTTCATTAAGGACTAAGGGCCTGTGGGTGAATTGGCGTCTATTTTTAAACATGCAGCCCTTTCTTCTCCAAGTGTCAGTGAGCAGAGCACACTGCGCCCGCCACCGCCGCTGCCTCTGTTTATTTTTGTAGTGTCTGTTGTCCTCGTCATTATCGTGTCTGGACCCTTTATGGAGCTCCAAATGTCTCTGAGACCTCTGTGCGGCGAGGTCAGGCACTGGAGAGAGTCCGAGGTGGTCATCTCCAAGGATGTCACGATGCTGAGTATTTGGACAAAATTAATAAATGTAACATTTTTATGCTTAAAATACTGTCTTCCCATTTCAACAGTGTTCATTAGGCATTCATCATGATTTTGAAAAATATGTGTGTGTTCCCTCTTGTTTTGGTCCTGGGGACTGAACCCAGGGGTGCTTAACCACTGAGCCACCTCCCCAGCCCCTTTTTATTTTTTAGTTTGAGACAAGGTCTTGCTAAGTTGCTAAGGCTAGCCTCAAACTTGTGATCCTCCAGCCTCAGCCTCCTGAGCTGCTGGAATTACAGGCGAGCCCCCCCCGCCCCCCAGCTCTGCTCTTTTCTTTTTTTTGCCTCACCTCCTTTTATGAAGGAAATGCTGTCTTTTTTCATATGGGCTTGTGTTCAGCGTGTTCTGTGATTTGCAGTGCCGAGCACGTAGTAGTGCATAATGATCCAAAGAATAGACAACGTAAATGCATCAATTATGTATATCGGTAACCTGTTGTTCTCTAGCTCTGAGAATAATACTAGAAAATCTGTAGCAAACATGCCCATGCTTCCTAACTTGAGGGCTCCATTGGGAAGACCTTTCTTTTTTCCTACATGAAGAAGCATGCAGTGCTATGTGTCTCGAATCTGGCTCAGGGCAGCCCCCTCTTCCTGATGGGGGGGTTGTCAGCAAGCCCCGTGTCCACCCAGCTAAGAGCTCCCAGCACAGAGACCAGGGCGCAGGATGAGGCTGCTGAGGTCAAAAATGCAGCAGGCCCTCCTCTCTGAAAGAGGTCTTCTTGTACTCGGAAGTGGCAGTGTTATGTGGCCATTGAAAGGTCTCATGTGTAGCAGTAGCTTTTGGGCAACCGACTGCCCCAAAGGGGGCGCCCAGCTCCTAACCTATTGCTGAAAGAGAAATGCCATTGTCTATTAATACCACCGGAACGAAAGATGAATCGTGAATTGGCCTTGATCTGCCACTGAGCTGGACTTTGATAGCTCATCCCTTAAAAAGGTTCTTTTATATCTAAGAAAAAAAAGCGTGACGTCAAGGCAGGGGGAAAATTGATATCAATATTTAAGACCAAACTCATACGGCTTAAAAAAAAAAAAGCCCCTTGTGAGGATGGTTTTTACATGCATAGCTAATTAGCTTAGGTTGTTATAAGCAGGGCTGGGAGGTAGGCTTCGGGCGGCGTCTCGGCCGCTGGTCATGGTGCTTGCCTAGGCCAGCCAGTCTTGGGGTTGGAGTCCCAGAAAGTGGAGGGAGAATAATCTGCCGTATCTCGCTGGATCGGGGCCACCTAGAACGCTGTTATGCTGGAAATGCTAGAATATAATCACTATCAGGTGAGCATTCTTCCTGTTCTTCTTTGGTTTCTGACATGCCGGTTGGCTGATTCACCTTTTTAATGTGGCTGTAGTAAGCACACGGTGCTCAGTCAGGGCAAATCTACTCTTTTTAGGATGTTTATGGTCTGATGCAATGAGAAGTAATTCAGGAGAGTTTTGAACAGGGTCAATGGTGGGGTTTATTTCCCCGGCGTGTGGCTGTGTGATCTCCATCTCCTGTTCATACTGTACCTCTTACAATTAAATTGTGTCTATCAGGGAAAGAAAGAGTCACTTTAAATTGAATGTCATTGTTTTTTTTTTTTTTAAAAAGCAGTTATAATTCTGCAATAATGTTTCTAAGGATAAAAAGTATCTGGGTGACTTAGTCATGACTTTAAAAACTCATACATGTAAGTGTTTAAGTGTATAAGTTTTAAGTGTGTTTTTTTTTAAACCTATTTAGCGTGGAGTTATGTTTTTAATTGAATTCCTTTGTAATTAAAATATTAATCATTCAAATTAAAGGAGGAGGAGTTAATCCTCGACCAGCTGATTTAAACATTGAAATGTTTACATTCTACAAGCTTTTTACAGTGACTTTTTAAGGAGTTTTGGATGGATTATTTTGTGTGTATGTGCGTGTGTTTCAACAGAGAGCTGTTCCCTTTGCCAAGGAAAGTGTGATACACTGAATATGCATATATGAGACTGTGACTTTGATCTTACTAAATGTTTTCAGGTGCCTTGGAGACACGTTAGCCTTACTGATAGTTGCAAACTTTTAATGAGTAGACAGAGAAGAAGGGCACAAGGTTTGACAGAGATGGGTAGTTAATTAGCAGGGAAATAAAACAGAGTCTTACCCCGAATCCTACGTGTTGGACTTTAGACTTCAATAATATTGAAATCCCTTAGCGCGGTGCCTGGTACCCAGGGGCGCTTCCTAGTTTGCTCTGGGTGGCCGGTGGGTCTGCTGGGCGCCTGGAGGACAGCCGTCCGCCGCTTGGGAATAACGTGCTGTCTTCTTTTCCCTCCCCGGCTGTGCTCAGGTGCAGACCCACCTCGAAAACCCCACCAAGTACCACATACAGCAAGCGCAGCGGCAGCAGGTCAAGCAGTACCTTTCCACCACTTTAGCAAACAAACATGCCAACCAAGTCCTGAGCTTGCCATGTCCAAACCAGCAGGGCGACCGCGTCATGCCACCGGTGCCGGGGAGCAGCGCGCCCAACAGCCCCATGGCCCTGCTCACGCTTAACTCCAACTGTGACAAAGAGGTAATGCATCCTCCTCTCTGCTCCTCCTCCTCCCACTCAGTACCTGTCTGTTGCCTCCTCCTCCCGCCCTGACCATGGGCTCGCTCGCTCGTCCACCCAGCCTCAGCCACCAGGGCCTGTCCGGACCCTCCAGCTTCCTGTCCCCCATCTCTGGGTTTCGGGGTTCACTGCCCCTGACAGCGGCCTCCCCAGCAGGGCTCTGCCTCCCTCGCCCCATGCCCTCTTTCTGTCCCTGCCCTCCAGCTCAGGGGGTGGCGAAGATGCAGAGGGGTGACGGAGAGGCGGAAGAGGAAGAGCAGAAATAGAAAAGGTGTGGGACAGGCGGTGGGGCCGGGCCGCTCGCTGAGTGTCTGGAATATTATTTTTATTTCTCCCTGAGTGAAAAAAAAAAAAAAAGATAAAAGAAACAAGCAGCGTTGGCGTGCCAGATTTGAAAAATACGGCCCATGAGTTTCTGACAGACAAACCACGGGTGGATGGCTGCCTGCGTCGGGTTTCATGATAAAAATTGCCTGTTGCACCCGCTTTGGTAAAGGCTGGATTGGAGATGAGACTCAGACAGACCTGCGAGCTAACGGTCGCATCAAAATGGGAGCACAGAAATCCCCGAGAGGAGAGGTGTGGTTTAATGCCTGTTCTTCTTTCCAAATTCTGAGATGATGAGCCTCGTTTTTATTGGAACTTTTTCCTGGACTCTGAAATGTTCAAGTTCAGAAGTGACTTTAATCACGAGAAGGATCATGTCCTTTCCCTGTGCCCAAACCGACCATTTCTCTGTCCAGATCTGTCATCTAGCAAGATGACTGGCCCGAGGTCCCCTTCAACCCTCTGTCTCCGGGTGGATCTACCTTGTCTGAGAGCTTCCTTCATCCTGTTGTTCTGCTGTCAGCCTCGCTTACACGTCCCCACAGAGTCACCTGCAAATCCAAACCAAGGGCTCTTCTGGCTTGTGTTTTGCAGGGGTTTTATAAGTTTGAAGAGCAAAACAGGGTGGAGAGCGAGTGCCCCAGCATGAACACACACCCACGGGCTTCGTGCATGCAGGTAGGAACAGATTACCGCCTTCCTCCACTGATTTTCTTTCTTTCTTTTTTTTTAAGTAGAGAAAGCTATGAACAGGGCCACTTTCTTCACAGTAGCTCACCATTAAATAATTACTAGCTATATATATCCAATGTATGTTTACTAGCTATATATATCCAATGTATGTTTCCCCAACGTTGCTTTGGTTCGTAGAAAGTGCTTAGGTGTATGAGTTTTAATAAGACATAAACGCTCTTTATTTGTGTACCATCATCATTGTGTGTTACACAGATTGGTAGGGAAGCAGGGTAGCAAGATGTGTCACTTATATCAGCGTATAAGTGGAGTCTCCCAGAACACACGCTCTGAGACATGATGAATTTAATAATACCTAATGGCTGTTTTCCCAAATAACGAAAAGTTCCACTACAGCATCCTGTTTAATGAATAAATTATGTGACATCTATTTACGTGTTTATGCGTGTGCATACAGAGATGCCACAGAGAAAGTAATCAACAAAAAGAATTCTTATGTTTTGCTTTTCAATTTTCTGTATTAGAATATGGAACATTTTTGTGATCCGTACTTTTCTGGATTTCCCACTATCTACTTGTATGATTTTTGTCAGGAGAGGAAAAAATATATGAAAAAAAAACAAGCACATTAAGCGCACTAATGTTATTTTCATTAAAACCAATGATGGATTCAGTTAGAAATCATCCATTAAAAACAAACAAAACTAGTGCCACCCAGAGATGGGATGTAACAGCTTGCTAGCAGTTTTGCAAAGTTGGCTGCCCATTATGCTTCTGAGGGATCACTTTGTAATTCTCACATTCAAATGTCCACTCCTTTCCTGACAGTGAATTCCTTCTACGGTTTATCCTGAGGTCTCCCCAGAAGCCAACAGGACGGGGAGCATCATTAGCCCCCATTTCAGGGATTGGCGTATGGCGCCTCTTGGGCACTGGAGACTCCACCTTAAGCTGAGAAGTGGGACAAGCAGGACTCTGTCCCAAGCCCATGACGTGGGAGCTCAGCTTTTTAACAGGAGGCCGAAGGACCCAGGGCAGCATCCCTGTGCCTTCTGAGGTCCCCTTGAAGAAGCTCTGTGCAGACGTGGGCACACCCACGGCACCTGGCTCGCCCACGTGGGCCGTTTACAGAGAGGTGTCTGCAGGCTTCTCTTGTAACTGCCGCAGTGCACGTGTCATCGCTGTTGTTTACCATCCTACCTGATGCTTGGGTGCCTCAGGGATAAGATTAATGTAGCGGGAGTACGTCGTCCCGGGGGCTCCTGGGGGACAGTGCTCACTGGCTGCCCTGCAAGGAGCTGGTTACTCTACACACCACTGCTGATCCGGGCAGGGCCAGCCAGGGTCCTGAGAGCCACAGTGTCTACACGGCCTCCGGAACCAGGGGCTGAATTCCCTTCTGCCTTTTCCTCCTCCAGCAGGGTATGGAAGGGAAACCAGGAAGTGGCAGCTGTTATTCAAGAAGAGGCTTCCTGCCATCTTTCCTGCTCAGGACAGGCAGTTCAGCATAGTGGGGAAAGCCAGGGGCAGATTGTGGCTCCAGCCTGCTTCAGGGTGTGCTTCTGGGCAGGCACTTCTCCATCTCACCCGGATGGTTACTGCAGTAACAGCACCGACCCCGATAGGGTTGTGTCCGGGTAAAAGATGTAGCCCATGCAAATCCCTAGGTCAGCCCTGGGCACCTGGGACCCCTCAGATGCTGGCCACAGATGCTTAGCGTCCTTGATGTTAGTGGTCTTGTGTTTCCATCTTACTGGGGAGAGGATGGTCACTCTTAAGATCTAACTAAAGAGCATTATCGCTTTAGGTGGGACAGGTCCCTTTTGGGGAGTGTTGCACAGTTTTTGCTCATTTCTCTCCTGTGGCTTTTTCCTACAGATGGATGATGTCATCGATGACATCATTAGCCTGGAATCAAGTTATAATGAGGAAATCCTGGGCTTGATGGACCCCGCCTTGCAGATGGCAAACACGGTATTGATGGTCTTGTTTTTTGTTTGTTTGTTTGTTTTAGAAAATCTTGAGATATTTCCATTATTCTCTCCCTTTGTCCTGAACTCTTATAGTTTTGGGTTGCATACTTAACCGATTCATTGAGAAATTAAAAATAACAACAACCAACAAAAAGATGGAGAATTATCTTAGTTCACAAATAAGCGACCTTGACACTGGAAATGAAGGGTCTTTCATGAGTTTCTCGGGCTCCCGGGATAAAGCTCTGTGTTCCCTGGAGTCCAAGTGGGCTTCCTGGGAAGGCAGCCTTGTAATTCCCCCAATGGCCCGTGCCCCGCTTGGTGCTCCTCCCTGTGGTTCACAGTGACCTGAAGAGTCGATCCAGCTTCCAAAGGGGGCTCCTTCCTGTTCCCAGGTGGTGGGGGGCGTGAGGTCACCCTGCTCAGCAGCACGTCTTCCTCCAACCTCAGTGCAGCAGCCGTGGTCACGGGGCCCTGTGTGTTGCTTGTAGCCCTCGTGCGTGGGACAGCTTTTCTCCACAACTCGGAGCCCGGTCCGTGTGTTCTTTTCCTTCCTCCTTGTGCCTGTGCCATTTATTGCTGTCCTCCCAAAGTCTCCCTGCACATCCTACTTAGTCCTCGCAACAACTGAGTCACCTTGAGGTGGCCTCTGTCCTTGGCATTAGGTTATTGCCAGGTTGGACAGTCTCGCAGGAGAGCCCGTGGCCAGAGCTGGGTGTGCTGGGGGGCCGTACAGTCCTCCTCCATTTCCCAGGAGGGGACTGCCAGGCGGGCCTCTGCTGCAGGGAGGGAGCAAGGGAGCTTTTGAATGGGTTTGGGATTTCAAACTTGCCAGACCAAAGACTCTGGAGATCTCTTTCCCAGCAGCGTGAATATACTTAACACTGCTGAGCTGTGCACCTTGAAATAGCAAAGAGGGTAAATTTCATGTTGTGTGTTAACTTTGCCGCAATGAAATGAAGACAAAACCAAACCTTCCAGTAGTGAACTGCCCCAGCCAGGGCAGAAGAGGGCCTTTCCTGATGCACACCAAGTCATCAGCAAGCGGAGTTATATATTCAGCATTTCCTATTTCATCTCAGTCCAGTTCTTTAATTCATTTGCTTGAACTCACATGGGGCGGGTGAGGACTCCCCTTGGAACCTCAAACCTGCTTCTAGCAGGTTTGTGTTTGTCTGTTTCCCACCGTGGAAGCTCACCTCCTGATTTTGGTAGAACCCGATGCCAGGCCATTTTGACACATGTTCCTGTGCCACCTTCCCAACCCTCTTGGAACCTCTGGAGCATCCCTGAGATGCCACTGCATGTGGCAGCAGCTGGGATCCCAGGGTGGGTGTGAGCAGAGTGCCCCGGAGAGCTAGCACTTGGGAACTCACGAATGTGCCACGGCACGTGGGTGTGCTCACGTCCCCACGGCCACAGTGGGCCTGTGGTCCCAGAGCTTGGCCGTGGGAGGGGTGTTTCTACAGTGGTCCTCACTGGCCACCTGGCCGCACTCAAGAGGCCTGTAGAATTGACCTAATTTCAGAAATTCTTGCTTTTTTGTTTTTGTTTTTGTTTTGTTTTGTTTTTTGCAATGGTGAGGACCTTGGGAGACAAATGATCCAACCCCCTGCTGGGCTCATGAGCCTCCCCCTGCGTGTCCTCATACCGGGCTTCTCAAGAGGCCTCTGGCGGAGGATCAGCACAGCGGTTGGGCTGTGGAGAAGTGGACCAACCTGGGTTCAGAACCAAAGTCTGCTGTCACTTGACTTCTTGACATCCTTGTTCCCTGCCTGTAAAATAGGGCTCTAAATTATACCTGCCTTACACAGTCATCTTGCTTGATAACGCACAGCGTTTATCACTGGAAGCATAAGTCATACTAAGTGAGATCCCCGCGATATTGATTGTGATTTATTTGTTGATTGACCTGGGTTCAGGGAGCACTCCTAAGTACCAAGCTCTGTTCAAAGAGCACCATCACTGAATAATCAAAGTGTCCCTCACAGCGGGGGTCTGCCGTCCTGCTGGGTCCTGGCTTGCATGAATTCTTCCATGCGACGACCCTTCTGGAGATAGTGGTAGCGACCCCCCCACACACATGCTCCCCCTGTAGAATGGGTGCCCACGTGTCCTGGGTCAAGGCCCCCGGGCATCGGGTGCTGCTCTCCCCAACCTAACTGCTCCTGGATGCTTTCTGAACCTGCTCTCCCTTGAGTGAACCTGCAGGGGTGGGTGCTATAGATGCAAAGGTGAGGGGTGCCCGGTTACCATGGGGCTTGCACCTGGAGGGGGAGACCAGACTGTCGCCCCTCACTGGAGAGGATAACAACGGATCAGGGCCATTTCCAGGTAGGCAGGATGCTCTGGAACCAGGTGCATCCGTTCCCAGGTAGGAGAGCAGTTCCCTGCAGCCACCGCAGAGGCTCCAACTTCATCCAGCATCCACTTCTGTGCATTTCCACACCAGAAAAGGCAAAGTGCCGCCCTTCCAAGTCTTACTACAAATCATCCAGGCACTTCGCTGTCAGGGGAAGGACGGTAAAATGCAGGGTTTGGGCACACAGGCTTGGAAGCAGGGCTATGCATGCGTGCTCTCGAGTGGTTGTACCCCCTGCCTCAGTGTGTCACCTGTAACACGGGGATAAGGATTGCATCTGCCACAGCTAATCAAAGTGAGAACTATGACTTCATCCACAGAAAGCAGTCCCGGCCCACTGCCCCCACTAGGAGTCAGCTACTCCCGCCCTCCAATTCTTCACAGACGTGAGGGATAGTCATCTAAATTAAATGACCAAGCTGCTTCCACCCTCCCCATTTTCATTTCTTTCCCACAGAAAGTTTAAATTCAGTGTTCTTCATGGTAGGCGCTTTTCCCTTTTATTTGATTTTTTGAAATGCTTTATTTCAAGTTAAATACTTAACAAAAGAAAAGTGGAAGGAACCCAGAGAGGAAACTATCCTAAGGGAATTGACGTCTAGCAATAACTATTCTGAGAGCACAAGGGCCTCTTGTCCCTTCACAAAGAAGAAAAGTCCCTGTTTGCTTGGGCTAACAGTGTGCAATTGATACTCGGGGAAGGGGACCGTCCAGGGAGAAGAAATAATAATGGCTCACAATCATCATTTTCTTGGGAAAATATTCATTTTGGTGGAGCAGAACATTGAAGAACTCAATTCAGACCACGATGGGGGCAAAAAACACAGGCAGGGTGACCTTCTTCCCTCCTTCCCAGTGGGACCTTAGCTGTCCTCTGTGCACCAGCTCAGGGAGGAACTCTTATCCACTGAGTCAGTGCTCCAGAAAAACCATCGAAGATCAAAACAACCTTGTCTACAGAAGACGTCCCTTCCTCTCAGTTCCAAAGGTGTCTTTTTTTGATGTTATTTTTTTGTTAACTGAGTTTATGGGGGAATTTTTGTTACCAAGAAGGGAGGCACAGAATTTTTGTTTTTGTTTTGCAAAACCCAGGATAAAACCCAGAATGAGTTCTTAAATATGCTGAATAGTTCTCTTTTTTTAGTGGGGGGAGGTACCAGGGATTGAACTCAAGGGCACTTGACCATGGAGCTACATCCCAGCCCTATTTTGTATTTTATTTAGAGACAGGGTCTCACTCGCTTTTGCTGAGGCTGACTTTGAACTGTGATCCTCCTGCCTCAGGCTCCTGAGCCACTAGGATCACAGGCGTGCACCACCGTGCCTTGCAATATGCTGAATAGTTCTTAAACCTTCTTAAGTGTATATATGTCTGTGTACTATAGACATATAAAATATGATGAGAAAATGTGTTCCCCTTCGGGAGAGGTTTGGAATCAAATGACTTGGGTGCCTCTTTTCCAGGCCAGCTATCCATATCACTTGCCTGTTATTTTCCCTAACAAATCATCCTAATGACAGGATTGCCTGTTTTTCATCCAATTTGCATATGAAAATGTAATACCTACCGTTTGCATTTCCCGAGACAGGGGCATGGTGTTTTCCCTTTAGCTCATTGCTTGGAATCTTCAGGTGACGTTCTTGATTTGTTAACGTGCAGTTTCCCCCGAATCTGAAACTCCAGCAAGACAGGAAAGAGGCGCGAGACTTGGGAGCCATTACTGGGTGCTATGATCCCAGCAAGTCCCAGCTCTCTGGCCATTTTCAGGGCTCTGTTGGGATGTGGGAAGGCCTTTCGCTTGGTGTTAAGTAGGACAAGAAGGAGCCTGCATGCTCTGGGCAAGGTGACCCTGAGAAGGTGACCTATTTCAAACAGTGCCAATTAGGGGAGTGACAGCTAATAATGAAAGCCACTTTTTATCAGTGACTCCTCCTTAGTTGGAAGGCCCTACAATGGGGGTCAAGGACATTTTAAATCAGCTCAGTGTGTGTGTGTTTGCATGTGTGTGGGTGAGGGGGTAGTTTTATGCAGTTATATAGTAAATGTCACCTCAACAGGGACACAGTGGTGCTGGGTCTTGCTGATCTTCCTGTCCTGTCTATCACCCTGGTCCTGATAGCCTGTGTCAACTTACCCTGCCACAAAGGCTCTTACTTGGTGCACACCCCCCTGTCTAGCCAGGGGCTCGATCCATGGACTGATTTAAATCCATGGATTGATTTAGAAACCATCCTAGGAATAGATGCAGGTGGCTCTCAAGGAGGGAAGCACAAAAGGTTCCATTTTTATCTCCTGATGGTCATTGAAAGGGCGAATAATACTGCAGATTGAGCACCCCTAACTTGAAAGTCCAGAAACCAAAATGCTCCAAAATCTGAAACTTTGTTCAGTGCAAACACGAAGCCACAGTGGAGAGTCCCCGAGTGCACCTCACGGGGTACACCACAGGCAAAAGTCAGGTGCACCGAGCTATTCTGTAAATGTGTCCACAGGTAGTGTGCGTAAGGCGTGAATGAAACAGAGGTGAATTTAGTGTTTGGACGCGGGTGCGATCTCACATGCAGATGTGCCAAGGACCCAAACACTTCACATCTCAGCATTTCTGATGGGGGCTGGTCACCCTGGGTGTTGGGCACAGCCTTTATTAGACACCTCTTGGCCACTAAATGATCCCATCAAATGCAAATGTTTTCTGAAGTTACTTCCCTCGCACGTGGAGTCCAATCCAGCTGCGATCCGGGGTGGGGGGGGGCGGGGGCTGTGTGACCTGGAATCCGCAGGGTCTGCCTGGAAGGGTGTCCTTCCTCGCTCTTCCTGCACGGTTGGTGTCACAGCTGCACTTCAGCCACTGGGAGAGGCAAGGTCTTGGACCCCTTGGGACAAAAAAGGGCGAATAAAACCATCGTGTCCAACCAGTGACCAGGAAATGCACATCCCTGCAAAGGAAGTCAGCGCCAGGAAAAATGAATTCTCCACCTTGACAGCAGTTCAGAGCTAGAGGGAAAACCCAAGGACTCTTGAACTAGCCTGGGAACACACATGCTCCTTTCATGCTTTTTTGAAATTTTTTTTTTTTTTTGTCTTTTATTAAAGTCTGTGGCTCCCTCTGGTGGATTTCTGAAAAATTTCAGTTTCAAGGAAATTTCTTTAGCAATAAGGAAATCATTTTCCAAAAAAAAAAAAGAACATTGGATAGAAAGAAGTCAGAAAATTGACTTTGACCAAGAGCTCTGTGAGGGGCAAGGCTGTCCCCAGAGCCCGACTTCAGAGCTATAGGAACCGTTCCCTCTGCACCTGCATGTGGCCTGCTGTGCCAGAGAACCTGTGTGCCACCTCCCCAGTGTCTTCAGGCTCCAAATAAAGCCACCAGAGAGGCAGCTCACCTTCTGTGGTGTGAAACTGCCCCTTCGTCTTCCTCTTTGTAACTAATACCTGTGAGGGAAGAAAAATACTTATGTCGTATTTCCTGTTTGAAAGAAAATGTTTTGCCTTTTTCCCCTCCCTCCCTCCTTCCTTCCTTCCCTCCTTCCATCATTTTCCTTAAGTAAAGCCTAAAACAGGACGTGAATTTTATCTGAAACACTTGGTCATTGCTCAAGGGTTTACGTGTGTCCTTGTTTCTCTGTCCAGTTACCCGTCTCTGGAAACTTGATCGACCTTTACGGCAGCCAAGGCCTGCCACCCCCCGGCCTCACCATCAGCAACTCCTGTCCTGCCAACCTCCCCAACATCAAACGGGAGCTCACAGGTACGTGCCCAGTGGGTGGGCATCTTATGGGGGCTTCCTGTTGCCCTCCTCGCCAGGCACGGGGACCAGTGCAGTAATGTCTAGACCACCGTGTGTGACCCATGGACCTGTTTCTTGGGGTCTCTGAAGTCGTTAAAATGTGGTGTGATATTTTAAGATGGAGGATTCATACATGGCCCTCCCGGTTTCCAGGGGTTCCTGAGATACTGGGGATGGGGACACGGTTGTTGCCAGGCACTGGTCATGGTCTGCACGTGCGTGCCCCTTGGGTCAGGGGGGCAGGCAGCGCTTCCCCTGCAGACCTCTGTGCCCTACCTGGCAGTTACATCCCTTGCCAAGGCCCTGGTGGTGCTGAGTTTGGGAACCCTGCTCTGCATCTCCTTGACTCACCTGGAGCCCTCGGGTGGGCTGTGCCAACTGCGTATTTCTCACATCTTCAGATGCCACGTGGTTTTTTTTTTGCTGGATCACGTGAAAAAGGTTTATTACACGGCGGGGGGAGAGTAAATCATAAAATGGAGCCATTAGGTTGGTTGTCCTTGGGGCAGATGTGAAATTACCAGTTGCCACTTTCAGGGGAACCGAGGCAGGAGGTGCTTAGAGCTGGCCTTCTGCCCTGGTGAGGCTGGCCCTGCTCCTCCCGTTTCCACCCCACGTTCCCTGCCTACTGCCAGTGGGGTGATGAACGAAGAGTGGGGATGCGGACTTGGGGGAGAAAATCCCTATCCTGTGGGATCGTGTCTTTCAAAAAAAAGCATTTCAAAAAACTGGCTGAAGAAAGGTTTAAAAAAAAAATCATTAATTGGGGTTTCAATTGAAATAATTAATGAATAAAACTATCCAAAGCCCCAAACCCAGTAAGAACCCCAGCAGGAGGCAAGAGCAGAAAGAACAACAGAAGCCCTCGGGGCTCTTGAAGAGGGGCATGGAGTAAAAGCCACCCCCCATTCCTCCAGGCAGTGAAGGTCCAGCATGGGAGCTTCTTGACTCAGTTTTCATGTGACCAGGCCGGTTTCAGTGGCTAGGTCCACCCTCCCAGTCTAAAGAGTCAGCCTCTGCATTATATCTGCGTATGTGCACAGAGGCCCACAGGAGTCTGCACACAGGGACACATGGGGAGGCACCCCTGTGACATCATGGTGCACTGTGACAGACACCTGCAATGTCACTCAGAAACAGTCTCCCGGACCCCTGTCATGCACACAGCGTTTGTCAGCTGAGTTCCCCACGTGTTGGGACAGCATGGACCCCACACATGCGTTAATAACGAGATAAACGTGTGGGTGCACCTCAAGGGCTTGCTGTCTCCAGGTAAAGGACAAACTGGTGATGAACTGTTTCACCCTTCCTCAGAGCAGACTGAGCTCTCTGAGGTCCCGATGGGTCAAACAGAGGGTTTGGTTTTGATGATTTGGGTGTGAGGCGAAAGGCCAGCTCCTAGCTCAGAGGCCTCGCCGGAGTGTGCAAGTAGAACTTCCTAAATGCGGTTGCCACCGGATGCCTCCTGGCCCCTTCCCTGTGTACATTTTAGAGACTCAAACTGGTGAATAGTTGCTCCCAAGAGTCAGTGAGCGATTCTGTTTTGGCACATTCTGACAGAACCTGGCTCTAAGTTCCCAGTGTATGTCCACTGAGAACCCCTGGAAGGTCGTGGAGGTCTGGCCTGGGAGCTTCTTGACTCAGTTTCCATGCCAGGGGGTTACAAGGGCAGCAAATCAAAAACCAGAAAATGATTTGGCCTGAAAAGAAAACTTGACTCCTGATGATGGAATTCCAACAGCAGATTCCCGGTCCTTTATTTTTACTCCCACTAACACTGGAACACGTGGGCAGCACCCCGGGGACCATTGTTACCGTCCCGGTACCCATTGGTGGAGGCTGAGTTTTTGTGTGAATCAGATCCACAGTGATCCGAAAAAGTGCAGACTCTTTTAAAGCCCTCATTTTAGAAAGCGTGATCGTACTCGGAGTGCAGTCAGCCAAGCTTCTCTGTGTGTGTGTGTAGAAAACGAGATGTTGTGTAGGTGCGTCGTGGTGCCCCGGACAGTTCCAGTTTCTAACAACTTCATTCACGTGCACAGCGTGTATTTTCCCCACAGAGTCTGAAGCCAGAGCCCTGGCCAAGGAGAGGCAGAAGAAGGACAATCACAACCTGAGTAAGTAGCCATTTCCCTTCAAGTTGCTTCACGTTGGAGCTGGCCGCGCGTCCCTCGTCGGAACCTTGCCGGAAATTGTGCACGATCATTGATTTCTGGAGCTGTCAAAGCCGTGGGGAAAACCGTATCTCAGAGAAACCAGGGTGTGTGTTTCATCTCAGGCCAAACCGAATTCCACATTTATTCTCGCATTTAGTTTCCAAAGAGTTTGTTTTTCTGTGGATGTTTGAGGTAGTGTTTTTTTTTCTTTTTTGCAAGAGGGGGAATTGATCCCCAAGTACCCCATTATAAGTGATGCTCACACTGGAACTTATTATTACAAGTGGGGAGCTGGGACCTCCTTCTCCAGGGAGATGAGAGAGAAATGGAAAAGAAAGAGCTCTGGGGGCCCCTGGGGGAGGTCGCCTCCCCAACTTCCCACTGTACCTGTGACTTTGAGAAGTCCTGGAACATGCACAGTGCCTTTGTGTGTCTAATTGACTCTCCATTAAATCTTTAGACCTTTTCCTCTGAAAACTTAAATTCCTGTTTGATACGTGCATGTGAGGGCGGTGGCCGAGGAAAAATGTGGTGTGGCCTTGGGTGCAGGAGGGAGTGTAGGTGAACTTCTCATCTCATAACATCACACCTCTGCTTCCTAAGCTGATTTTTAAGAACATGAGCCATAAATTAACACTTCCTCCTTATAAGAAATGGTGGAAGCTGGGTGCAGTGGCACACACCTGCAATCCCAGAGGCTCAGGAGGCTGAGGCAGGAGGATCACAAGTTCAAAACCAGCCTCAGTAAAAGTGAAGTGCTAAGCAACTTAGTGAGACCCTGTCTCTAAATAAAATAGAAAATAGGCCTGGAAATGTGGCTCAGTGGTCGAGTGCCCCTGAGTTCAATCCTCAGTATCCCCCCGCCCCGAAAAGAAAATGATGGGGGGGGGGGGGCAGGTTCTTGAATCCCAGGGACAGGCTCTGTGTTTCCATTTGACCCAACAGGCACTAGTTAGAAACATTTGCTACCTCATATGCCCTGCTATGTCACCCTCCTGCCCAAGGAGACAGATTAATTGAGTATGCAACTAGGGGCTTGGGGGAAGAACACATTACCATGCATGCCATGGTTAGCAGTGCTGGGCTTCAGTTCCAGGGCCGTGCCCTCTGGTGTGTGGTGATTCACCACTGTGCTTACTGAACACTTGAAATGTGATCAGTCCAGACTGTGCCGAGCTTTAATTATAAAATACACTTGGACGAAGCTGGGTGATCCCAGTGACACGGGAGGCTGAGGCAGGAGGATGACCAAGTTCAAGGTCAGCCTTGGTGATTTAGTGAGACCCTGTCTCAAAAAAAAAAAAACTGGGGAGGTAGAGAAGTGGTTAAGAGCCCCTGGGTTATACCCTAGTACCAAAAAGAAAAAGAGAGGGAAAAGAAAAGAAAGAAAATAACTTACAAAGTTTTATATTGACTCCCTGTCGTTATTATGGTAGTTTGGTTGTAGTGGGTTAAGTAAAATATTATAATTAATTTTACCTCTTTGTTTTGAACTACTTTAATAAGGCTACTAGAGAAAGGGCTATGCTCCATGAGCTAAGAATGATTTTTTACATGTTTAAGTTGTTAAAAGGAAATCAGAAGAAGAGTGATATTCATGGTATGTGAAAATCACATATGATTCCAATTTCCCCATCGCAAGTAATTCTAATGCTTTTGCTTAGTAGCCTTGCAGTGTAAAAATTGTACTCAGTGGATTCTATTTTGATTTTTGTCAGTAGAAAATTGGGGGAATTCATTTTCCCGTTAGCCATGGGAGTACCCACACAGTTTGGGTCCCGGGAAGCAGGACCTCCCTGTGTGGTGCTGTGAGCATGCCGAGCCCTGCTCCCTGGAGGCAGCTTGTAGTTAGACAGTTCCCTGCTCCCGACTGGCCGCCCTCTCCAAGCCCCTGACATCTCCAGGGAGGTTTTGTCCCTGGTAACCATGGGCAGTGATTCTGATTTCAAGGTTGTTATCGGGTAAAATGAGAAATTGTATGTCTGATAGAGCTCTGTATACAAGGAGCTCGTTTTAAAAGTGCTTCAGTCTCAGTGCCCCAGACATGGTAAGGACAGGGGGACACAGGTTTGGGGTTACATGGTCCCAACCTGGGGGGTTAATGTGCTCATAGCTTTAACAAGACGTGCTGCATGCATCTGTGGTGCTCTTCCTAATCGCCCTTTCCTGTGCTCTTTTCTTCAAGTTGAACGAAGAAGAAGATTTAACATAAACGACCGCATTAAAGAACTAGGTACTTTGATTCCCAAGTCAAATGATCCGTGAGTACAATTGCATGTTGATCTGCATCATATATTTTTTTGTACCTTCATGTTTTCTCGTGTGTGGCAAAAAAAAAAAAAAAAATGCAGTTAGAAAACCTAGAGTAACCCGGTCTCCTCTCTTCCTTTGGTTCCCTTTCTAAATACTTGCCTTTGTTTGGGTTAATTCCAAAACTCTAAAATTTCAAGAGAAATGCACTGAGTTTTGTGGGTCAGGAATTGGGCTTTCTGAAGCCTGAGAATCCTTGCAGACACATTCTGAGCTACTGAGAAAGAAAAAGAAAAAAAAAAAGAAATTTAGCAGTCATGCAGTACAAGATTTCAATAGCCGATAAAGCAAGATTTGTGGTCGATGTGCTCTTGGACATTTACGATATCTCCAAATGGGCACTGATGAGCAGATACGGGAAATTTCAGGTTCAGTGGCATTCAACAGATAAAAGGTCAACTTTTTTTTTTTTTAATGAAAACCTGCATATTCTTTGTATGTTTTACCAATCTAGGGGAAAAAAGAGTCCTTTTAAATCTTCTTATTAAGTACAAGTCAGCTAATTTGAGCTGCTTTAGCCTGGGGTCCCCCTCTCAGAGATAACAGCTGTGAAGATAATTCTCCCAAGTCTTACAGCCAACCTGCAGCATCAGCAAATACAACAAATACACAATTTTTATCCATTAGAAACCGGCCCATTTGAAGTAAGGGGCCGAGCCATGTATATGTTTTAAGGCCCCCGCATGCACTCTGTGAAACCATCCTTCGAATATGACCTTTCAGCTACCTAATAAAAGGTAAAGAGGCAATCAAGTATCGTTCATGCCAGGCTTATTACATAGGCTATTCACATGATTGTCGGGGACTTGGTAGCTAAATAAAACTGTTACCTCTTGTGACTTGGACGGACGTGCCGGCACGGTGTCCACCTTGCACTCTCTGCTTTCTTAGGTTTCCAGGAAAGACATTTTCAAACTGGAAATGTTCCAATTCTCAGTTTGGCGGCACAAATCTATCGTACTAAAGGGCTGTGACCTTCATTTCCGACAGTCAGTCTTGCATGGTGGTTGAAATTGAATTCCCATTTTCCTGTTCTTTATCAGCTCTCACTTTTTAGCATATTCTTTGAAACCGTAGCATGTGAATCTCTTTAGTAACGTCTTATGAAATTATGGGGCGGCAGTGAAAGTCCTGTATTTGCATATCTTCCTTCTCCACTGTGGGAGAAAACTTGGGTGTTTATAATCTGAGCAGATAGGGGTCCTTGGTGGTCAGCATTGTTTTAAGAGAAATCGGACGCTGACCCCTATAACCCGGGTTTCCCATCTCAGGATTCCAGGATGTCCTCTGGGGCCGCTATGGAGACGTCCTACCTGATCAGTGTCCCAGCCCCTTGTGGTGCCCTCTGTCCCCCAGAGCAGCTCAGTTTGGGTCAGTTTTCTCTACTGAAGATCTATGTGCACTTTCGGATGAAAGGGGATTTCTCTCTGATGACCAAGAGGTTGGAAACCCTTCCTTTAAGCCCAGAGACATAGCTGGTTGATTGGTATCACAGGGGGTAACCCCCGGCTAATTGGTTGGAATCAGTACTTCTTAAACATGGAGTGGCAGTTCTGTTTGAAAGGTCCAAAGCTCATCTCCTGGCCCAGGAGGCACCATTCCACCCTGGTCACGTCTCGCTGGTGCTCAAGTTCCTGTGACTTTGGTTTTAGCCTGAGCAGGAGTCTCTGGGCTCACTCAGGGTCTCTCAGGACACCTAGTTTGCCATCTTTGAGACCCCAGGGTCCACCCCAGGGAATTCTCTGAAGCTCCAGTTGTGGCTCTCATGGGAGAACTTCTGTTTTGTTCTTCGTCTGGGACATGTGAGGATCTATTACTGGGTGGCTTGTTTAATGGGCCACCCGCCTGTCCCACCTGGCGCTTCCCACCTGCCCTTAGCAGCTGCAGGAGGTGGGGTAGGTGGTTCTCCACGCATCCCAGGGGATGAATCATCTCACCATTCACGATTGGCATCGTTATGATGACAATACATAAAATCTAAAAGACTTCAGGTTAATTTCAAGTCATGTAGAAGTAGTATTTACATAGATGTAGATCATTCTGTGTTTTTTTCTGGAGTGATTTAAAAATTCAGTGTGTTCACCTACATCTGAGTGCCCTGATTTCCTCATTGTCAGTCCAGCAGAGCCAGCTGACTGAGCGCTGAGAGGCCCCTGCTCTGGCTGCCTTGGTGGGGATTCCCGGTGGGTGGCGTCCTAGCAGGTGTCTGAACTTGGAGAAGTTCCTTCCTTCTCGGGATTCACTTTCCGTTTTGGCAGGAAAGGGGCCCCTGCGTATCCCTCCATGGTCTGAACAGTGAAGTCCAGGTTGAGCAGGGGTCTGAGCTGGGGTCTGAGGCCGTGGAGACATTTCTCAGCCCCTGGGCTTCAGTTTCCAGCCAGTGAGACGGCACATTTCCACCTCTCCATCAAGAAGGTCATGACAGAAGGACGTTGAACACTTGAGAAAGTCCCCGGCAGGGTCCCCCTCTGAGAAGACTCTAGGTGCTGTGCTGGGCTCTCACAGGGCTGCTGTGTTACCCCACGTGGGATCTGGACTTCTCAGAGCACTCGATGTGAAGTGCCTGTTGTGAGTCCAACAGTGTAGCCAGGAGGCCACTCAGACACATGGGGTGCTGTCAGTTGGAACATGAGGAGAGGGGGGCCGAGAGCATCAGGTGGCAGGATAATTCTCCATAAGCTCTGAGGACACCCCACTTATGCCACAGTCATCAACCATACCACCCCACAGAGTCGTGTCATTTTTAACGGTGGCTCTTCTGCCCAAGGGAGTGACTTCATGGTCCTAGAGACCTGTGGCCATTAATGTAGGGTTTGAGAGTGTCGACCCGGTATGCAACAGACCTCTGTGTAAGTCTCGCCGCCCTTGTCTGGTGGCTCTGAGACTAGGACAAGCCGAGTCATCTGTTCCCACATTTGTCCCATGTCCCTACTGTCCCTGATGTGTGTCTGCATGGAATGGGACAATGCACACAGGCCGTGGAAGCATCCGGCATGTGCAGTTTCCTCGTGGAAGGTCGCCATTGCTCATGTGCGTTGGTGATGACGTCTGAAGATGCCAAACGCTTTCGATGTTGGCTTTTTCACGGAGCCTGGCTTCCTGACGAGGTCTGCTTTGTCCCCTCTTCCTTGCAGAGACATGCGCTGGAACAAGGGAACCATCCTGAAGGCATCCGTGGACTACATCCGGAAGCTGCAGCGGGAGCAGCAGCGCGCCAAGGAGCTGGAGAGCCGGCAGAAGAAGCTGGAGCACGCCAACCGGCACCTGCTGCTGCGAATCCAGGTAGGGCAGGCTCGGCCCGGGCTGCCGGTGGGGAGGAGGCGCCCGGGGAGGGCGCCCAGCCCCGACGCAGGCTGCTCCAGTCCTGCGTCCCGCATTCATGCATTTCCCTGCTTACAAGTTGCACTGGTCCCCCACCATCACCATGGCTTCCGCGGTTGTTCTTGGACACGTGGGGAGCGGTGGTTTGGAGTGGCCCCTTGTGCTGGTTCTTGGTGGAGGTCCAGGCCCTGCCCTCTGGTTTCAGCTCCCACACTGTCACCCATTTACTGTGGCCCGTGGAGCGTCACAGGTTTCACGTTTTTCTGGTTTTCATTCTTGTTGGTTTTGCCATTTAGAGCATCCCCGGGTGCAGTGCAGAAGTGCCTTCCAGCGTTGTCCCTGTGGCGTGCGCAGGGGTCAGATTCACTCCCTCCAGGCCTGAGTTTCGGTGTGTGGTCTGAGCCCAGTATTAAGGAACCTACTGTGTGTTTTAGAGGCATGTGTCTCGAATCAGAAACACGCAGAAGCCAAGACCCTGTAGGTTGCAGGTGTTGTGACGGGCAGAGCCTAACCCCGCCCTTCCCGCAGGGACAATGGTCCCACATTCGCTCCTTCCGTGTTTGTAGGACTCTGCAGAATGGACTTGCCAGAAATAATGAGCACTGACTCTGCCTGCTACATAAAGGATGCCCAGTATTTCTTGGTGGTAGGAGCAGTCCCCATATTTTAAGGACCTGGGATACCAGAGGGTCTAATAATAAGGACACAGATCTTAGAGACTGTGGCTCTGTGCCGTGTGGAAGAGCTTAAGGAAGCAGATGCAGTCTTAGAGGTGTGCCTCTGACCACTGTCCCATCCCGGGAGTGCCTGCAGCACAGCAGGAGGGACATGGCTGTGGACCTTGTTTAGGGCTGGCTCTGGGACTCCTCGCAGGTACTGGCCTCTCCTGCTCAGGGTCAGGCACAGCTTCCCGTGACTGTCCTCAAGCTCTGTCGATGACCAAAGACCAAAGTGGAGCTCGGGGGCGGTTAACTTGCTTGCCTCCTTGGCCTGCTCCACGGTGAGAGCCTGGGACGCTGGGTCTTCTCCCTGAGTCGTGGTCTCCTCTCGTCATCTGCTTGGATTCCACTGCAGCTCCTCCGGGAGTGACTTAGGGGTCAGCCACCTGCAGCATGCCCCCTTAGAGCCACCATGGTCCTTGTGGTGTCCCTCCTGGACGTCCCACTTCCCCACCCTCGGAGCGCACCACATTGGTATGAGGTGCCGCTCTCCCATTGGCTGCCAAGGTCCTTGGCGTGGGGACGGCAAGTGGAGGGGGCTCTCCTCCAGGGTCCGGTTTTAGAATCCAGGTGCCCTGCAGGTTGTGGGTCCTTTGGAAATCATCTTCCCTTCCTCGCCTGCTTTGGTTATCACTGCTGGTCTTACGTCTCGCCCCTCCAACGGGTCCCTGTACCTACTGAGTAGACCTACTTACAAAAGCAGCTTATCCTGATGCGTCATTTCCTTAAACAAGTTGTAAAATGTGATGACGGTTTTGGAAGAGAAATCAGGTTTTGTTTTATTTCAAGGTTCCAAAGGTATGTATTCATACAAAAATATCACGCAGTGCCACAGGTGCGTTGGAAATTCCATGGTGACGGTGCCTGGGTTTTTCTCTCAGTGACTGTGGGCCACCTTTACAACTTCACGATGTTGCAGGAAATGCTATTAATCTGGAAACCTCTGCAATTTGGTGAGGCCAGAGTGCTCAGAAGAGATTTTCCACCTTATTTGGAAATCTGAGTAACTGCTTTCATCAGCTGATAAACATTTTTAATTAAACAGCAAAGGTGTGCAGTAAGGCGTTTGCTTCTCTTGGTCTGATTTTGTTGACTGGTGTGGTTTTTGGAGAGACACAGGCTGGTAGGAGGTGCTGCTGGTCTCCTGTGGGCATGAGACTCAAGAGCAGTTTCCGCTTGGGCCTGAGGTCTTCCTTTCATTTTCATCCCAAGCGATGCATGCAAAAATCTTCACACGAGAAGGAGCAGGGAGCCTCATTATCAGAGGAGCTGCTTTTATTAAACAGCCCAGGGCCTTAACGGGAAGCCTGGAGAGGCTCGTGCTCCCAGAGTCTGTAAAGGAGCATGCAGGCACTCAAGTGACATCCCAAGCTCTGGTCCCCTCAGTGCGCGGTTTCAAGGAGGCCCAGAAGACCCTCTGGTCCCAACATAGCTGAACCTGGCTTTCCAGGCACATGGATTCTAGCTCACGGGCAGAGGTCGAGGGGCCAGGTCCTGTGGAGAACCTGGACCCTCTCTGGGGGGCCAGCCGGCTTGCTTTTAACGCACATCCTGTGTTTCTTCATTGTGGCATTGGGGCACGGGACAGCCACTGCACGCAGAAGCTGACTGCTTACTGGACGCCATTTGGGTCCCTATGGTTTGCTTTAGGAGCCTCCCAAAAAGGAAGGGGCAAAGGCTTGCTCCAAGGCTATGTGGGGTTGAGGTCCTGGGGCGTCTCTGACATTGGGAAATAGACAGCTAATGCTATGCTGGGTGGCCCAAGCCATGGACAGTTACTATCTCTGTTCTACAGGCCACGTGTCCAAGATCAGGGCGGCACCGGACTGCTTTCTTCTGAGACCGCCTCCTTGGCCTGCATGTGGCACCTTCTCCCTTATTTCTGGTCCCAATGGTGTCTGGGGTCTGGTCTGTCCCACTTGACCTCCTTTAGCTTAGTGACCTCTGTCTCTCAGGAGTCGTGTGTCAGTCCTGGGGCTGGGACCTCAGCCTGTGAATTGGGGATGCGCGTTAGCTCATCAGAAGTACATGAAGAAAGTGTAGGAAGCAATTCTTCATTTCATAGGTGTTGAATTCAACCGAGTTGTTGAATTCAGAAGAAACAATGTCCCCTGGCCTGCTGTGGTGAGGCTGGCTGGGCCAAGCTCTGCAGCCTTCCGCTACCCACGGGAACCTACTCAGCCTGCGCCGTCACCTCTAGACACTGCCACTCCTGGTGCCGTCAGTGTCTGTGTGGCCCTCACTCCATCCCCAGGCCCACGGAAATCCCTTCCTTTTCTGTTAGGTCCAAACAACTCATGGAGTATTTAGGTCTTAACCTCTTGGTAGACATTTGGAAAACAAAAATCATAAAGATCGAAAGGAAGACATCATTTTAGTTTTATTCTTAAATCATCACAGCGCTTACCGATGAGATGTGTCCCCGCTGGGCAGCACCAGGCTTGTGGACTCTGCAGTGGCCGCCCCTGGCCTCCCATTCCACATTGACCTGCATGCGTCCTCGTCACAGTAGCACTGTGAAGCCACTTTCAGTGCTGGGACGAGAGACTGAGTGTGTGTCACGACTCACACGAGGCTGAGAACCATCTTGAGTTTGGCAGTTCTTGGTGGTTTCACCGTTTCCCTTGAAATCTTAAACTGTGTCCAGCTCCCTGTGCTCCCTGCAGCTCCCTGGGTCCCTCGGTGCGTGACCTAGGGACCGTGAAATTCTATGACCATTTACTTAATACATTCTTTTCATCAGGTCACATGTTAAAGTTTTATTTTTATACTTTTAGCTTATCCTCATTGTCAACATTAATGTCTCTGAAAGTCTGTTTTTAATACATAATTAAGTCCATCTGCCACCTAAAAAGTCGTTTCATATATGACTGGTGGTTACCGGTACTCTAGGAAATGCAGAGTTTATTAATTTTAAAGAGCAAACAAACTTTCACTTTGGAAACTTATTGTTTTCCCTCTGTCTCATTTTAATAGACTTTTTTTTTTAGAGGAGTCTTAGATTCACAGAGAAAATAAGGGGGAGCCAAAGAGAGGGTCCAGATGTCCTCTCCACACCAGCACAGCCTCCCCCACGGCAGCACCCCAGAGTGGAGGACTTACTTGGGCATTTCCTCACCCTCCTAAGCGCACCTTCACTCTTGGTGACGTGCGTTCCCTGGGTCTCCCCGTGTGTACTGACCTGGGTGTGCGTTCGCAGAGCCATAAGGAGTGGTTCCCTGCCCTGAGCGTCCTCCCCTCGCCCCCTGTGCCAGTGTGTGATGTGGACTCTTCTTACAGGAACTCGAGATGCAGGCCCGGGCTCACGGACTCTCCCTCATTCCATCCACGGGTCTCTGCTCCCCCGATCTGGTGAACCGGATCATCAAGCAAGAGCCGGTACTGGAGAACTGCAGCCAGGACCTCCTGCAGCACCAGGCAGAGCTGGCGTGCACCAGCCTAGACCTCACGGACGGCACCCTGGCCTTCAGCAGCAGCCTGGGGCCTGCGGCCGAGGGCGCCCAGGCCTACAGCGTCCCCACCAAGATGGGGTCCAAGCTGGAAGACATCCTGATGGACGACACCCTCTCTCCCGCCGGGGTGACTGACCCACTCCTGTCCTCCGTGTCCCCGGGAGCCTCCAAGGCCAGCAGCCGGAGGAGCAGCATGAGTATGGAGGAGGCCGAGCTGGCGTGTTAGCGCACCTGCCACCGCGTCCTCAGACGGCCCCCTCCCTGACTGGGACACACGGCATTTCCCGGAAGGGGTTTTCTTGATAATTTTCCTTTAATATGAATTTTTTCCATGCTTTATTGATAGCCCAGGATATATTTTATTTTTAGAATTTTGTGAAACGGACTTGTATATTCTATTTTACAACTCCAAATGCCTCCAAAGTGTCGTACAGCGCGTGTGTGCAGGATCTGTGAACTGAGCTCCGGCCGACGCCCCCCCCCAGCCCGGAGGTGCCTGTCGGGGCTGCGTCTGTCCATCCTAATTCAGGGGAAACTTGATCTGAGGTTTTCATGCCTGTGACTTCCTTGGCAATTCAATGTAGAATTTAATTGAACGAATGTAAAGCAACCAAAAAAAAAATACATGAAGAAAAAAAAAGAAAGATGTGCATCCTAACCCTTCTCCCTTTTATAAATGTACTGATTCATTGGTACTGCCTTAAAGACACAGTACCTGGGAGCACCCTTCAGCCTTTGTTCTGCAAACTATTTAAGGAACTAACTAGTGTAGTCTGCAAAAGACCAAAAAAAAAAAAATCAAAACAAAATGAAACAAAATTCACAGCAGTCATTTTCCTGAGGGTTGTCAGTTAGCAAGTGGAACTGACACCAACCCAGATCGCAAGGTGGGAGAAGGGCCTCTGGAGAGCCGCCACCCACTCCTCCTCACCTTGCAGACGCAGCTTTCTTCCTTCATGAATTAATAAGCGCAACCCAGCTTTGTCATCGGATGCATTTCATTTTGAAATGGAAATGAATGTCCTCTCAAAGTCCATTGTTGAGGAGCACTGAAAGTTTGTTGTACTTGTTTTCTCTCTCTCTTTTTCCTTCGTTTTGGTTTTTATTTTTTATTTTTTTGCTTTTGATAAGACAACCGAACTGGGCACATTTCTAATTGGCTTTACTATTTTTATTTTTAAATTATGTTTTAGTCATTTGATTTGTACAGACTCTTTGTTATCATCGTTCTTTTCGATGTTTGTATTAATTTGTAAGAATCTGCATCTGAAGACGACGAGTTTTCAGTATTTTTACAACTCTTTGGTGGTTTTCTGCATTCTTTGTACACCCAGGAAAGAAAAATTTTATGCAAGGTCTTGTGTTTAAAGAGAGCTTTGCAAATATTTTGTATATTATAGGCTCACTCAAAACTGTTTTTCAACACATTTAAGATAGAGTATTAATAGGTTAAAACCAGGCTTTCTAGAAAAAAAAACATAAACCTATGTATTTATTTTTAGGATATAAAGTAGCAATATTCTTGGAGACTGATAACCAGAGTTACTATGCCCTTTGTGGTCCTTTAAATTGGGGTTTATTTCAGCGAACATGCTGGATTTTTTAAAAGAGAGAAATACTGTATCGGCAAGTTACTGTTACTCAATAACAATGTTTTAATAAGCAGCCATGTAAAGTTAGTTTCCGTGCATTACCTACTTGTGTAGCCCTATGCAATGACAGTAGTGTTACATCTATCCAGCCTAGATGTCTTATGCAGTGACACTCAGATGCAGCCAGGCTGCCAGGGGCCTTTCTCAGAAGCAGCCTGCAGTTGAAGAGCCCGTGGCGCAAAGCATATCCATTCAGAATGAAGTGCCTTACACACAGCGTCGTCTGCTCTGGACTAGCACTGACTGAACTGTGACCAGGAGGATGCTTCTAAGACGGCATCCGGAGTGAAGAGGGTCTTGTGGCACGGTGCCTCTGAAGACAGAGGAAGAGCTTCCAGTTTCCTTCAGATCTTTTTAACCTGAAATAGACTTTAGTGACAGAGTGCCAACCTATTTCATCAGGAAACCTTATTCAAGGGGGTCTGCTTTTTTTTTTTTTTTTTTTTAAAAAAGTGTTTCAATGTCAAATATGAATTGGTGACGGGGACGGAGGGATCAGAGAACGCGATCGCCGGGTGTGTGGACGATGGCTTAGGGAGGAGAGCCCACCTCTCCGTCCCCGTGCACGCTGGCCACTGGCCACCGAGAAGACCCTTGAAGACGTTGATGATGCTCTCAGTTTTATAGCTTTATTACTGAAGGGGGCCGGGACGCGTGGCTCCCATTCTTTCAGCCCTCTGGATTGTGTCGCCTTTTCCTAGAGTAGTGATGATCTGCATGAAGAGCTCCTGTGCCGTAGTGCTCGGACAACAATCGTAGCGTTGTCTGCTGTTCTCTTCATATTTATACGGGGGGAGGGGCTGGGAGCAACAGCTGAAGGTGGCAAAGCAACGAGCTACTTCTCCTGAGCTGATCTGGGGGGCTCTTAACGATGCAGCGAGGCTGGCTGACCCATGCCCAGGGACCGTGGCCGTGGCAGAGCCGAAAGCCTCTGAGAGAAAGCCTGGCATCCTGCACCTCCGGCTGCAGCGGGGCCCCAGTTCGCCACCTCCTGCTCCTGCCTCCTCTTTCCTGCTTAAGGGGCATTTCTGGGAGCACAGGGGGGCGAACCCAGAGGAACGCTGCAGCTGGCTGGTTTTCTTTCTTTCTTTTTTGCCAAACGGAGTGTGAGTTCGCTTTAGGGACTAGCCAAGCCGAGAGGCAGTGGTTTGGGGCTCTTGGTTTCAACAGGAGGATGATCCACACCACTCCCCCCCATCCCTGGGTGCGGAACTGTGACTCAGGGTTGGGCCTCCATTTGGAGTGACCAAAACACCAAAACTGTCCCCCTGCCCGTGGTCGTGGGGCAGTGGAAATACCAAACCTTCTGTCTTTGCCAAAAGCTGAAACAACCAACCTGGTCCTCTGGAGAGGATGACCAAGTTCTTTCTGGTTGTTTCCGAACAGTAAAGCAATAAGAACAAATAAAACACGTAGGACGCTAAAAGATATCCAATAAAGCACAAGGAATGCACTTACTAATATTTTTGTAAAATGCACTGGGGAAAGGTTGATGTTGATAACAGTATAAAGAAACCCTATTTCTTGATAAAAAATAAAAAAAAAAACGACAAATGACTGTCTCTTGCGGACGCTTGGTACTGTAATGTTAATAATTATCACTGCTGTTGTGTGCAGCAATAGTTCTGTATGGTCCATAGCACTGTATCTTATGGATTGATATTAATGTATCCAATGAAATAATCAAGCTGTTGTTCTTGATAGCCTCATTAAAGCATATGGTTTTTCACAAAGCAGTGGCCGGTCGTTCATGCTAATTTTCAGCATTGTTTGCCTCATTTTAAAAAAAAAAAAAGCATGCACATTTTTTCTCTGAGTTAATGAATAACAAATTGCCAGAAAATGTTCAAAATGCCAATCGTCCCTTTTTTTTTCTTCTGGTTTTAAATGCCACTCTAAGATGTTACTTTTTGGTTAGAATCATTTCTGATTACTTTATAACTTGCACTTAAGTGAACTATAATTACGCAGCTTTATCCCCCCCTCTGAATTCGGGGGAGATTTTTGAACTCCCAAATGCCAAGAATCCATTTTAGATATAAGGGTTTTATTTAAAATGTTTTCAGTGAGAGGTGGCTTCACAAAAAAGAGAAATTGTCAGAGAATCCCTTGCATATTTACAGAAAAGATATTGGGTTTTTAAAATACAAATTTACAATAATGAAAGCTTAATATACCCCATCTGCCAGGTCCTGACTGGGTTTTTTTTTTTTTTTTAAACACAGTACTTAAGGATCATTTGATAAATGTTGGATTTGAATTGGGAAGTGTCAGACAAAACACGTCTTTATTCCCTAGCTAGACCTTAAACTTCTGCCCTTTTAAAAAAATATTCTGGCTTAACCTCTGGAGAAAATGAGCAAGAAACTTCCTGCAATGCCTCTGATCTGACTGTCAGCTTTTGCTCAAGTTTGATTTTTTTCCCCCCTCAAATTATAATATACAATAATTGAAGCCTTTCTTTTTCAGAGTTATTTGAATTATTTATATTTCCCATAGAAATATGACTGTGTGATGTCTTAAAATCGTGTAAAAAAAATAGGAAGATCTCCTACACGAACAAGGGAATTTTCGGGGAGAAATCAAGAGCAGGTAAGTTGGAAGTGGGGCTTTTCATCTCAGGAGGGGACTCGGCTGCTCCTGCCCCAAGTCTGTGCCCATGGTCTGCCTGTTCACACTCACCCAGAGGCCTGCAGACCCAGTCGGCAGCTGTACACATACACACACACACACACACACACACACACGTCACAGTGGTGGGTCACCTGCTTGCCAGAGGTTCACTGCAACCTGCATGACTTCATTTCACGTCCTCAGACTTACATTTCTTAAAGTTTATCTTAAGCCCAATTCACTTTTTTAAAAAATATATCTGCCGGGCGTCATGGCGCACACCTGTAATCCCCGTAACTCGGGAAGTGGCTGGGGATTGAACCCCGTGCCAGAAAATAAAAAATAAAAATCCACAAAATGGCCAAGCGGGGCTCCCAGCTAGCATCCAGATCTGAGCCTTTGCCTGTTTCTGCCTGTGGGGTTTTCAGCTTGTGCGTCTCAGCCTCCCTGCGTCTCCGTGTTTGATCTGCTCACTGGAGACAGTAACAGCAGCGCTGCTCGGTGCTCTCGTGAAGACCACGTTGCCGCACTAGAAGGTTTGCCGGGCAGCAGGTAGGCGATGCTCAGTAAGTGGCAGCTGTTTTCCTGTGATGTCATAATCACTTTGACTCAGTAGCGCACCACAGCTCGCTGGAGAAATGCTGCACGAGAGCCAAGGGCTGGGAGTGCAGCTGGACCTCGCGCGGGGGAGGGCCTGGGTTTGATCCTGGCCTACACTATCCCTTGCTATATTACACTACAGTATAGCAAGGTTTGGGTGACGTGGCAAGGTGACAGCAGTTGCAGTCCACTTTGGAGAAGAGGACATAGCTCTTCTTAGCGCCCAGGCGCAGAATATTTTAGAGAATCAATGAAAAACCAAGTTTATCACATTTAGCACAAAAAGACCTAAAATGTAGGTGTGTCCAGCCTGTCTGGTCAGCACTTGCTCTTGCCATGGGGCTGACTGTCCTCTGCTGTC